GTTCATTAAAGTAATTAAATGAATTTTTAATGATATAAAAATAAAATGTAATTGAGCAAAAGTCAATCTAGTTGTGATACGGCCCACCAGCAGTTCATTAAAGTAATTAAATGAATTTTTAATGATATAAAAATAAAATGTAATTGAGCAAAAGCCAATCTAGTTGTGATACGGCCCACCAACAGTTCATTAAAGTAATTAAATGAATTTTTCATGATATAAAAATAAAATATAATTGAGCAAAAGCTAATCTGATCATGTATGCATTCCTACTTAATTTTACCATGATCCCTCTGGCCCGCGAAGCCTAAAAATATCTTACCTCCTGGCCCTTGTCCAAAAAGGTTTGGAGATAAGTACACAGCAAGTAACAAGGTGACACAACTAAGTCATGGTTAAATTTTTTTTAACTATATTTCAAAAATGTCGGTTAACACATCTATTGTTTGAAATTCATAAAGTATTATCACAATTTCTTCTAATAATTTTGATTAATGTCTATAATGAACTATACGATAACCCCAGACACAAATATAGTTCATGCATGACAGGTCACTGGGCCAATCTAGGGCATTTGAGAGATTCATCAAAGCATTGTGCGTACACATAGCAAATGGGTCACTGGAGGTTACAATTACTGTGTTGACATGAGATGAAAATCTGTGAAACAGAGCGACACGATCATTTCCAGTAACTGTAATAATGTTCTCATTCTTTCTACATCTCTTCTGTGTACGGAGTTTGAAGACATCTTTCTAGATAGAAAAACTTGCACTACGTTATCATATATGGTGATCTGAGTGTTGATTGAAATATCTTCTATTTTAATGCAGCTTCTAGCTGGTACTGAAAAACAAAACAGTAACTAGCAGGCATCATGCAACCTGTTGATAGACTGTAAAAATACTCATTGTTTTTATGTCTGGTAATATGTGTCTTAGTTTTCATAAGGTAAATAAAATATAAAAGAAAACTAAGCATCAAACTAAGAGTTAAAAAAAAAGTTTAAGATACTTCAGCAGTCTTGGTTGATAGAGATCCTTGTGTTGTTAACATCATCTTAAGTCATGTATTCAAAATGAAATTTAAGCAACATAAAAGAGGTCCTTTGGATGCTGTAATTAGATTTATCCAACTCGACATTTGTAGCCGTTTGGTGCGACAAGCAGATTTACACCACAGTGTCGCAAAAACTTTTCCTCATAGTTCAACAATCTGGATACTCACATGTCCTTGAATTTCCTGCCTTGGTACCGCACGTGCGTACCTCACCGAGCAAAAGTGCAATTAGTGGATTTTGATATTGAAAAGGTGTTCAAAAGGTGAAATTCTAAATTTCACTTTTAGTGGGTAATTGAAATTTTGAGAACCCACTCAAAATTTAATTATGCACACAAAAGGTTAATGTATTAATTAGCTATTTGCTTATAAAATGTATGTTCACCATAAATAAATATTTTGAACAGAGTTTGCAGACATCTTTCTATATAGAAACACTTGCACTAGATTATCACACATGGTGATCTGAGTATTGATTGAAATATTTTCTGTTTTAATGCAGCTTCTAGCTGGTTTACTTCCTAAAGGTGGTACTGAAAAACAAAACAGTAAATCATCTGGTGACAGCTGCACCTGTAGTACCAAATATAGCAAAATTTTGAAAGAATTTAAAGAAAGACTTGAAAATGAACACAAGCAAGAGAAAAATCGAGCTGTAACCGAACTAGCCGAGAAAGTGAGTACCTTATCTGAATGCACTTGCTTTTTGTAACATTATTGTTGAATTTTAAATTGAACCTAATGTGAAAATATGTTGCCCAACTAATTGTGGGCAACTACAACACTTAGTTACTGTTCTGAATTCAGAGAGTACTGTGAAACAGTTATTAGTGGCTAATATTGTGAATAGAATTTTTGTATGTCTGTGTGTGTGAGAAGTCATGCTCATTGTTAAGTTTTCATAATGTTCATTCACATGTATTTCTTAGCTACGAACAGATTTTGAAGAGGAAAAGCAGACTGCTATAAAAGTAGCCTTTGAAAAGCTGCAAAAAGAAGTTGAAAAGGCTCGGCAGAAAGCAGAGGAACAACTTCGTTTCCAGCATGAAGAAGAAATCCAACAACTTATAGAACGCCATCAGCAAGAAGTGTCGGAGATCAAGAAAAAACAATGGGTATGTGCAAATAATGATATGTATAATTTAAGTGAGAGTTATTTTATAAATCAGTTAACCCTCTTGCCCTGGGTATCCTTTACTGCACATGACACAAGGTTTTAGTGTCTTACATTCAAAAGTTTATTAAATAACTTTTTGTTTATGTTATACCAATTAGTGTAGCATAAAAGTTTAGCTAATAACCCATATTTTAATAGTATATAGGTTTTAAGTTCTTATTTTTATAAGGCAATATTTTAAAAAATCCTGAATTTCCCATTGTGTGACTCACGTGACACATTTTCTCTAGGTATCTTCTTATCTCTATTTTATTCCCCCCTCCCACTAAACTACGAAATTACACTTAAATTACTCACTATAAAATTGTCATTGCTCAGACAAACCGTAATATTTATAGCCTTCAATTTTGTTTCGTTACAGAGCTATCAAATAGAAAATCAGACCCCTCCTGCCACATCCTCTCTTTTAGGATTTGTTAATACTTCTTTCTTACGTTTAATTATATATTACCTATAACCAATAGAAAGTCAAGGTTTTCGTCTATCAAATGACGTATTTTATAATGTTGGGTTCTGAACTGAATATCGTCAATTTCACTCGGAGTACAAGATTAATTCCCGTGTGAAAGTTAATGACTAGCTTGAATTAATTTGTAATAGCTCTTGTTTCATTGTTAGAAAGCCAGAAAAATGTTGAGGTTCAGATGAAATTTTCTGCTTTTTGCATGTTATTAGTCTATGTTCTTTGGTGAATTATTTAGTGCACTACAACAATTAGTATAAAAAAAGTAGGGTTAAATGTCATTCACAGTCAACAGCACAAAAAAAAAAGAATGCTCAGGTAAGTACTTTATTTCTTGTTTTCCATGTGTATTCTTTATTTATTCTTATAAATGTAACTAAAATGTAAAAATAGGAAACTCTTTTAAGTTAGTTAAGGTTAGATTAAGTAAAATTAATAATAATAATAAAATGATAAAAATATTTCATGAGGCATGGGAAACACTAGCTTTGAGGAATTAATAACAGCTCTTGTTGCATTGTTAGAAAGTCAGAAAAATTTTGAAATTCAGATGAAATTGTCTGCTTTTTGCATGTTATTAGTGTATGTTCTTTGGTGAATTATTTAATGCACTACTACCATTAGTATAAAAAATGTAGGGTTAAGTGTCATCAACAATCAACAGCAATAAAAAAGATTAAGTAATTTATTTATTCTTTTTCATGTTTGTTCTTTATTTATTATTATAAAAAGTAACTAAAATGTAAAAATAGAATTCTCTTTAGGTTAATTAATGTTAATTAATGCATGTGAGCAGTTTGTGAGTAATGTAATTTGATAGCTGCACTTTCTCCAATAACACTATAAAATTTAATTACAAATAGATGTATATTGTTATGAGTTTATAGCTTCTTAGGATAAACGAATGTAGTTTCATGCTACATTTGAAGTCATTCTAAAAAGAAAAGGAGAGTAATTTAGATTTTTGGGGGGGATGAGGTCAGTCAAATTAACCAACCTTGTATAGAGTTAGGGTAGAGAAAATAACAGATAATATATAAAGTTTTACTGAAAACAATTATTTGAAATGTGTTTAGGAAATTTTAGATTTCACAAATGAAATTGGGGATTTTTGAGATGAAGAAAAGTATTTTTAATCTTAATATGAAAATCGCTTTGCACACAGATTATTCAAAATAAATATTCGATATATTCTAGGACAAATCTTTTTTTTAGTTTATTTAAAATACTTCACTAAAAATATGATTTTTTGTATGTGAAAGACTTATAATGTTTACTGAAAGATTGCCAAATTTCGTGAAAATATACACACTATATCAAAAGTTAGTAGTATCAAATCTATAAAGATTTTATACGAGTACAATAAGGTTACGTGGTCGGTCAAATTGACTGAGCCCATGTGGAAAGAGTTAGTAAAATTTGATATAAGTGGAAAACTTCATGCTTTTGTACTTTACTTTTAAGACAAAACCACACATCTAGATTTAAAATAAGAACAAACAAACAAAACATTTATCTCTGGGTGGAGATATCTCAGAAGTAGAACCAAAGTATAATTTGCATAGGACAAATGGAAAACAATATTTTTTTTTTACACAGAGGAAAGAGGGTGAGCTTCCTTGAAAGCTAGATTCATCTTTAAAATGCTTGCTTGTTTTTCTGATTTTGTTTATTTGTAACGGCCCAATTTTTTATTTATTTATAAAATCATATGATAAATACAAAATGTGTAGGAACTTAAGTACCTAAGATAAGGTTGTGAGGACTAGATCTCATTTGTTGTCATGATAAGTAGCCCATACAGTCACTTAAGTCTAATTAATAATCAAACTTAGGTGACTGAATAAGCTACTAACCATGATGATGATTTGAGGAATGTGTGTGTATTAAAAAAGTTTTGTATTGTTAGTTGTTGTGACTACTGCATCTCTCCACCTGGTAGTCCTTAGTAAAATTATATTAACACCCTTTAGATTACTGATGATTCCAAAACGTTTAATAAATGCTTCCTATTATCACGTTTGTGTTTTGCTTTGTCATTAAGTTTTTGTTACGAAATGAAGAATAGATTAGGGACTTAATAATTGCCAGTTTAAAAATCTTCACTTGTTCTGATTCTGTACATTTGTGTATGTATTCGGTTATTTAGTTGTAAATGAGAACAGCAATGACTTATGGTTTGATTTGTTTTTCGTTTAGTGTTACAACTGTGAAGCAGAAGCAATTTATCACTGCTGTTGGAATGTTTCTTACTGCAGTCTGGACTGTCAGCAGGTCCACTGGCACAAAGAACATAAACGCACCTGTCGACGTAAGCGCCAGTGACTTGCTGCAATGAATATTGAAAATGCATCCTTTTTTTTCCCTACCTTTTGCAGAATAGCATTATTTATCTGTTGAAATACCCTAAAATTTCATCATCATTCTTATTTTCAAAAATCATTGCTGTTTGTGATTGAGAATTTCTTCAAAACTTGTAGATAAGTTTCTCATATAAGATGTAGAGTTTATATACATAAAAGCATTTCCTCTGATTTATATCTATATGGCCTGTTTTAGGGACAAATAAGAATTAACTGTGTTTAGGTATAAGCATAGGAGTACTTCAAAGGGTATAACACGAGATATGATTTTTGTATAAATTTACACACACATTAAGTACATGATGTATGTACAACGGTGATACACTGTATCATTACCATGTTAAGTAGGCACTTAAACAGATCTTACTTCTGTTACTCGTGTTTCTCAAACAAGGTATATCTGTTAACAAGCGGTTTTCTCTAAGAAAATAATGCCATTTTACAGCAAGGTACAACAACAGCATTCAAGTAATATTTCACCATCATTCCAGGTCATTTAATTATGCATCACAGTTAGTACCTGCTTTAAAGTTTGCAGTATTGGATGGAAATATATTTGTGCTTATTTGTTACTTATGGGTAAGATTCCGTTTATGGTCAAATGTGTGTGCATGCTAGAACTCTAGAAATACCCGTTTTTTGAAACTTGTAGTCTGCTTATTTAAAACAGTTCTCCTGTAATGACAATAATAACATGTATATTTTTGTGTTTCTTATTCATTAAAACTACAAGTTTAGTCACATGTTTAAACAAAAAAAAACACTCAAGGTTTATATGTAACTTAGGAGTTTAATAATGTGTTATTGTGTGTGTGTGTTTTGGATGTTTGCCAAGTATTCTAAATATTTAGAATTACATAAATACCTAGGTATGAAAAGTAATATTATAATATTTATACAGCTGTTGTGCTGTTTTGTTTTATTTGTTCAAAAAACAAGTATATAGCTGGCAAATTGAAAAGTGGTGTAGTATTTAATTGTAAACTTGTATTAACTAACTCAGGTTTAGATTACGGTAAACCTAGGATGCAATAAGTTCACTTGGTATATGGCTTGATTTGTGAACCAAGAACTGATTGTCTAGTGCTGAATTTGTAGAACTGTTTGACTAGTAGATTTTAAGCTTTGACAACTTTTAGTAAACTACATCAGTAGCCTGCAGCTCTCTATTAGACTCACTTCATTTGTCCTGTAATATTTTTTTTCTCTGCTCTAAGTTTTGTTCTGAAACATCAATAACTCGTGACTTGTGAAACACCAGAGGTTTATAATAATTCTTTAGTTTATCATGGCATTCAAAAAGCAAGATCATACAAGGTAAACAAAATATTGTGGAATAAATGTTCATATAAGAGAAGACACGTAAGATCAAAGAATATAAATTAATGAAATATATATTTGTACTAAGTTAACAGATTAATAGGTATAGTAAAAAAGATTTAACTTATTAAAGTATTTGTCTTAAGAATCACCTTACTTTCTACTTTAACATATAAATATTTGTCTGTGTTTGTAACCTTGGAGAAATGACAAATATTTTTCACCTCTGTAGCCAATATTGTTTGACGTTAATAAGTAATAATTTTTTACAGCAACATATTTTGTCAATACACAGGCTCATTTCTAAAGTATAATTTTATTGTAGCTGAATTGATATGGCATTTCAGCTTTTTTGCAAAGCATGATTGGATTAATTATGCATATAGGTGAAGTATTCTACTTAATTTTCAGAAATGTTGGTTCTTTCATGTCAGAAAAAGATTAAAACTTGATGTAACGGTGAAAATAAGTGTGGTCAACGTTTTTGCCTAAATGACCTTACAACAGAGTAACCGTTTATTTGTATTTTCAACTCTTGTTTTTCTGCTGTTGCATTTGTTATTTACATTTCTTTGATGTTAATGTATTACTTAATAATGATGTACATAATGAACCAGTGACAATGATTAAAATACACCAAAATATAATAAAGTGTAAATACAATTGTTTTGATGATACTTCTTGTATTTTATGTTGTGAGAAATTTGTTTTTTTTTATGCTTTCCATGTAAGCATTGGTGTGTTACTGTTATTGTTAAGTGTTGCAGCCAAAGCAAACAATTATGGTCCTTAACAAGTAAGGTTGAATTAGCTGTATTGCAGTACGGGAATGTATATGTTATAATAAGAGTTGAGTATCATAAACACTATTTGGCAATACCGAATTTTTTACTGCTGTCACATGTTGGTGATATGATTAGAAATTTTTGTCGAAGTTATTTGAATATTTTATTTTAGATTAGTAAAGTTTCAAAACTTGTAAATAATCTTTGTTTGCATGTTCTTGAAGTTTTGTTTTAGTGGAATTTAAATTTCCTTTGGCCACACGGTGTTGTTTACAAATAACTTAAGTATGATAAAGGTGTATTCATGAAAATTAAATTCTTGACTAATTTTGGGCTCAAGCCTAAAATTTTTTTATCGTATTAGAAATTTGGAGATAAAAAAACAATTGTTTTATCATTCCTATGCAGTTTTTTTTACTCCCAATAAGATACTTATTTTCGTATGTTTAGCAGCAATTCATGGAAGCATTGTTTTTTTGTGAATACAACAGGCTAAAAAGGATTATGTTAGGGTTTTTATGAATATGAAAGTTTGTTTCATTCTCTTTGCAAGATGTAAAAGCTTTGTTGTGTTATTACTATGACATGTAATTTTTAGCTTCATCAGTAATTGTGAAGAAATTGATTTTCACCCTCAAATGCAGCATGTAATTTTCTTTGTACTCGTGCTCACCTAGCTACGCCTATTATAAAGTCCTAAATTGTAGAGATCACTTAAATTTAAAAAGTAGTATTTTTTGGCTAACATAAGGAATGTAAAACATGGCTTCACTAAATCATGTATATTAAAGAATAAAAGTTGGGTATTAGAAAAATCTCAATTTTAACTAAGGTATCCTATGGATTTCGTGAGACATGACATTTAATGAAAAGTTCTTGAATGAATTAATTAAATGATTCTCTTCAGAGAATTTAATAATAAAGTTAAACATGAACGTAATAATATTCAACATTCCATGTCCAGTAACAAAGGTGTATTTAACACTTCAAACTACTCTGTGCAATTTTCTTAGGGAGACCTTGCATACTAATCAGCTATAGGTACAGAAATTTATGGGGTTTTTGCATTACTTTGGCAGCTTGAAGATTCCAAAATGTTTAATAAATGCTTTATATTATTACGTTCTTGTCTAACTTGATTATTAAATTAAGTTTTCCAAAAAAAATCGAATACTAATGTGCTAAAAATCATTTATAAATTTGCTACACCTGTATATGATGGAAAGATGCATTTAGTAGTTGTTATAACATAAAACAAATCCAGCATCAGTACATGTTTATCTATTTTTAAGTGAGGAAAAACAATTCAACCACAGTCATTGCTACAATGTTCATGTAAGTTGAAGGCAAACAAACCAAAAATTAAATCAGCCGAGCAGTTGATGGCATACTTTCTCACAGTAAAACACTAACAGCGACGCTGGGTGATAAGCATGAATTACAGAAGTTAGATCTTCAAATAAAATCATTTCACACTCATACCTTTGCATGAATTATTGAAAAAGATGCAATTTACATCAACACCTTATCTAATACCTCCAGCTAGGTGCGCAGCACCGTCATACTTTGAAGTCTGAGGTTGCTCCTACATCCCTCGTATTTGTGGCTATACTAGGGTGAAATTGCATTGTGCTGACCATTTTGAAGTAAACAGATTTACAGAACAAGCTTCTTATTACCAGTGTATTTCGTATTGTTTATTTGTAAGAATTGTAAACAATTTTTTTTGCAACAATATAGTTTTATTTTACTTTCAAACATCCTAACAATGAGCTAGTAATATAAATCACATCCAAATTTTATATTAAACTAATTGTGATAACATCACACAGAAAATATAATTTTTAAATTGTACAAAATCTTTGCTCTTAAGAATACAAACATTTTAATACAAAATAATTACAAATAAATAAACTCTAAATCACAAAAACAAAACAAAATAAATGGAATTTAACAAACAAAAAACTGTCACTAATGCATAACAGAATTGAGTTCTACACATGACATAAAATCTGATTTGAATAATTACAAATCTGTGTAGGTAGCCTGAAAGATGTAAGGGATATGGAACAGCTTTAAGCAGTCTGATTTCATCATACTCAAGTACTTTGCTCTAAAAGTAAATATTTTATTATACAGCAAACTCATTCAGAGCTCTTAAAAAAAAACCTTTATCTCTCGTACATAAAACCATTTTACAATGCCGGTTGCATCTCAAATAGTAAAATCACAAGTTAATCATATAATGGTTAAAGTATACAATAAAACTGAAAAGTTGCTGTCTAATCAACAGATGGAAGAAACTTTCCTATCAACACTTTTTTAGAAGTGGTATGTCACTGCACAAGTAGGTAAAGTACATAAGGAGCCTCCATTTTGTGAAATTATTCTATGTATCTTAGAAAAACATTAAACTACAATAACAGTGCAAAAATAATTTCAGTTTAGTTTCATTATGTCTTTCAGTTAATCATTTTGTACAATAAGTTTATACTTTTATAATGGCAAGGCAGCAAGTACAAATAAATTGAACCAAAACTGCTTGCTCTCTAGCAGTACTTTCTTGTTAGTCTATAGATTACATATATTTCCTCTTTTCAACAACCATCACCTGATGTCGGAAAGACTGGCAATCAAGCCACAAATCAATAAATTCACATCTCACAGAATCAACCTGAAAGTAAACTTTGATCACATTATAACTTTTAGCAACAATGTACAATTAAAAGCTTTAATCACATTGTATATACATCAATATTTCAAACAGAAAAAATAATTATAATTTCATCTTTTATATGTACAAATTGTCACAGTATTTTCTTTTCAATAACATATGGTATTACAAAATAATTTTTCTGTGGAAGACCAGAAATAACAATGAATCAATAACTTCTCGTACATTCTTTTAAAAATGAAAATTCTCCTACCAAGTGTTGCATTTTTTTCTGGTTTAGTCTGACCAAAACTAGGCTTAACTTTTATAAGTACACTGTATAGTTGTTCTGAAGATTAAGAAAATTTGTGTTGAAGCCCCACATTAACTCTATCAACAATCAGCACTGGGATTGGCCAAAACTATCAGTAATGTGTAACGTTGATGTGGCAGATTTTAAGGAGTCGACAGATGGTGGTGGTGGTGGCGGCTGTCGACGAATTTGATTCTCCTTTGAAGCATCTGAAAGCACAAAAGCTTCAACTTAAATATTAATAAGTTATTTTAAGAAGACTATAAAAAATGACAAGATAAAAATTACTTTATTCATTCACAAATAAAATCATCGTAATTTACTTTAATAATTTCAAGAGATAGAATCTGTTTTTAAACAGCTTCCTTTAAAAGGATAAATAATTTTCAGCTTATAAAGCTGTGATACAATATCTATGATTCACATCCATAAAGTACTTACAATAAGGTTGTGGTGATCAAGTATCTATTGTTGTCATGATTAGTTAGCATATATGATCACTTCAGTCTAATTATCAATTAAATATTAACTTGTTTATACCCTATGTTTTAAATGCTGATCTGCTGCCATCTTCAAGGAAGGGTTACATTTGTGGTGGTAATGGCAGGAATTTGATCCTTTTGTTTCTAATTAGTTACAACTTTTTAACTAGTTTATATCTGACACTTCTGATGATGATCTGCTGCCATCACAGAAACAGTCCATCTCAGGACTTCCCTAAAGACAGCAGCTCAAATGTAGGATATAAATTAGTAAGTAATTAGTATCTTATAATAATAAAAGTGTAACTGATTAATAATTAGGCTTAGGTGATTGTATAGGATACAAGAACACTGGGAAATTATCTATTAAAGACAAAATACTGTGAAACAATGAACTTCTGACTTCAAAGAACCAAAAAATATCAAAACACTCAAAACCACAAAAAAAAATAGATAACTTTACGAGCATTTATTAATGAAAGTTAAAATTTGTTGAGAAACAAAAAAAAAGTTTTTGAACAAGTAGAAATTGAGCCTAACTGAAAGCCCAGTTTACCGAGTAGTTAATTTAACCTTTTCTAGATTGGAAGGGTATCACTGATATCCTTCATTGTTTTTTCCTTTTCATAGTAGAAATACTTAGCCAAGTTACAAGAAAATTAAAAAGAAAAAATTATTAAATAATATCTAGTTTTGACTGAAAAAAAAATTCATGTAATTTGATTTAGTTTTACTATCATTTTTTATGTTGTAAACTTTCAAAAATTCAACTTTTTTTTTTTAAATGTTGATCAGAAAGCTCCATTTTATCTTTACAATTGGTTTCAACTTCACTGATAATCATTAACTTATTTATATTGCTGATCACAGTAGTTACTAATTCCAGCCATAAACTAAAACAATGTATAATCTAACAAAGATTTATTGGTGACCTAGGATTCGACCATTAACAAGAAGGAATCCTCAATAGCCACGGCACTTTAAATTCTTTTAGGTAGGATCAGAGTAAAATTAATCGAGGAGACCTTTTTTTATTAGCGATATTTTTGTGTGTCAGCAATACCAAGCATAAGGCATGAGTATACTGGATTCAATTTTATTACTCATCAGGATCTCTACCATTCTCCATTCTACCCTCAAATTGAAATTCTTTTAGGCTGGATTAGAGTAAATTAATCTACGAGACCTTGGACATGGTCAAATACATCAATCAAAAGAGTTTGACTTCCCGAGTCCAAAACTGTAATTAAACCTCAAATCGGTCAAGAGATGATGGAGCTATGAGCTAAAAGTTTGTACTTTAAAAACAAAACAAAAACTCGGAGCCATTCTATGAGCCACTGTGCCATGGCTAAAAATAGAAAAAGGTCAGACTAAAGAACAGCAATTTTCCTAACAACATTCTTGATTAAAATGAATTTATATCAAACAAACATGCTTCATTTTCAATAAATTATAAGTTCTTTTATTTATGTGTATCAGTTGAATAAGACAAACTTAAGAATAATATCCAATAAATATAGATTTGAATCATCGCAATATTTTGAAGTAGCCTACTATACTGTCTAAACCTGACTAGACTTACCTGATGTCTTGTCACAGAAGAAAATTTACATAGCCTTCAAACAAATAATTTAACACAAAAACATTTTCAGGAATAAAAAGAAGGTCTGAAGAAACTACAAAAATACTTCATATCTGTGGTTTGTGCACACGTCTTCTAAACTTTCCTTTACATTCAAATGTTCTTCTCTGCAGGAAATACATCTAATCACTTTCTCATGGGACTACAAATTACTTCTCACACCATTTTATTTACACTGATGTAAATAATTCATAACTTGCTCTATCCAATGGTGTTCAAACCTTGCCTGTAGCTATATTCCAAAGCTGAACTTCATTAGCAGTTGTTCAGATCACGTGCTATGACATCATGATAGAGTGGGAAGAAGGCCTTGTAATAATAAAGTCTTAAACAGAAAATGTAAATCTCAAGAGAAATAAAACTTAGCTAATTGTGTTAAAGCTATGATAGTTTCTTATAAAAATAAAAACCTGTGCTTTTAGATGAGTACAAATATTTTCAAAGCCTTACTGGGCTTACCTAATTAGTATTTTGTTTACATGCGGGATTTTTTTTTTTTTTGTAGTTTCACATAAGTGTAAACTTGAATTTAAAAAAAAATTCTTTGTGAATTACATTAAATAAATTTTACAACATATAAAATACTTTGGAGCTAAAAACTTTTTGAAATAGAATTACAATTATCATTTTGACTTAAATTTAGTATACATGTGTGTACTTAACACCTAATAGGTGCTCTGCAATCTGGAAGAAGTTGACAACAAAGCTATACTGTCTCCATTCCTCCAGGTTTCAGCTTCATCTCTTGGTTTTTTTACTCTTAGACAGCAATGCATGTAATACTTTGACATATTTTATAATATTACAATAACAACTGACAGGTAGAGCCAATTAGAGGAGGAGGGGACAATTTGAAATTCTATTCTTCATCGAGACTGTTACTTGAAGATTTTCAAAATTCAGAGTGTTTTGTTGGATTTAACAAAAAGTTAAATGAGGGCTATCTGCACTAAAGGGAAGACAGCTAGTCAAAACCATCCATCACTAACTCTTGGACGACTCTTGTTATACAATAATAGTGGAAACAGATCATCATTCCTATAACATATCAATGGCCTCATAGAGCACATTGCAATTTCATTATTATTATTATTTATTTTTTAGTGTTAATGAGAAGTGAACCATGGAATCTCAGCTCCACAGTCCATCATGCTAGCAGATGGCCTATACTCTGCCTGCATAAGGTGTATTATGTATCATCACAACTATCTTTAAATACATACCCAAAATATGCAGTCAGGATAAACTGGTCCAATGAATATCTTTACACATTACATTATAAGCATCACTAAATATAAAATAATTTTTACTTGACTGAAGTTTTGCAGTTATTTTAAAATCTAATATTAGACATAATTATTATCTCATGGTACTTACATTTACTTGGATAAGACTTGGAAATGTTTTTAAAGCCACAAGGTGGAGGTAGTTGAGACAAAATATGAAACTTGTCTACGAATTTTTCTTCAAACTTGGCTGAAAGAAAGAGTCACGGAGTCTTAAAACAAACTCATTTATTTTTATAAAGAAATACTATAAAAACAAAAGGGAACAAAATATGTTAAGTTTGTACTACAATCCAAATCAGATGTAGTTCTATTTTTTTTCTAAAGATTCATCATTTCATAGATCAATACATTTTTCAGAGTATATTTTGGTAGAAAGTAAAACAAAACTGAGCTAATGACAGTGAAACAAAATTTAAAGGGCGAACTTTGAAATTAGTACGTTTTCATGGAAACTAACACTTTTATCAAATTTCGTCTATAAAACGTAAAAGATCAAAATATGCTTGTATAAAACACTTGGTGAAAACAAAAAAAAATCCTCAAAGTGATTTTTATTCAGAGAAAACAAAAATAACTTCAGGAAATTCATGCACACTAACTTTATGGTTATGCAACGTCATGTGTGCCATAAAAATATACAGGTTTTTATTTATATTTAAATATTTTACAGATACCTAAGCATGTTAAAAAATATTTTTTTTTTACATCCAATATCTCAAAACTTTGTATTTCATTATTAATAACAAAAACATATGCGCATGGAAAAAAAAAAAGTTTTGCTCAAATGTTTTGGGTTATAAGTTTAATCTGATCTTCTTATTTGACTAGGGCACTAGTTTTGCGAGTAATCCCACTCAGAGATAGCTACATTATGCTCTGCATTTTACCCATCAAAAAGTTAATTATTTTTTGAGCAAGCATTAAAATCTTCTTCTTTAAACCTAATAAAGTTTCTTGTGGTGAAAACTACGTATGATTTTAATTCAATAATTTTAATATCATCTAAAATCTGACACTTACCAAGATCAAATGATATAGTTTTAATAGACGAGTGTCTGGCAGGAGGTGGCGGAGGTATTAATCTTTGTATTGGAGGTGGAGGAGGTGGAGGTAATGTGGTCTGTAAGGGATGGTGAATATGTGCTGCTTTCATTTGTGTCATTGTAGTAATACAATGTGGGGGTGGTGGATGGGATGTAATTGGTGGAGGAGGTGAAGGCCATAAGTTTGGAGAAGAAGATATTGGAGTGCTTTTAACTGGAGGTACAGGTTGTGAAGGAGGAGTTGCTTGATGGTTTTGAGTTGTATGATTCTTTATTTCTTCTACAGTGTTATGTGTAGTTTGATTTTGCATAGTCAACAATGACTGTGAAGGTTTAAGAGTTGATACACAATGTTGCACTGAAGAAGAAGAAAAGGATGATGAACCTTGTCCAATGGAAGTGCCCAAACTTTGGTGATGAGTTAGATGTTCTGGCTTCTGTGGAGAAGTTTGTGGTTTATTATTCTGGCTCAATGAAGAAGTCTTAGGGGGAGGAGGAGGAGGCTTAACTAAAGGTGGTCTGTAAACTTGTTTGGACTGAAGATCAGCCATGGAAAGAGATCCCATTTCACCGGGAAGTTTACATGGTACTTGTTGCCATGTTTGATTCTGCTCCTTCTCAGAAGTTCCATTAATTATAGAAGTGTATGCACCATTCAGGATGGGCTTCTGACTAGGTGGATAGGACTCTGGACTAAAAGGCAAAGAGTTGTTATTGCTGCTTTGAAGCTCTTGTGGTAAAAGACTGTTAATGGTAGCGGTTGGAGGGATTAAAGGACCTCTGCTGGGACATCCATCTAAAGAATAAAGTAAATTAATAGATTCTGTAACAATATGTAATTCAGAACATACAAATATTTCTATCCATTTCATCTCAAAAGTCTAAGCACAAACTAAAAACTCAAACATATTTATGATATAGCATTTTGTCATATGTTGGGCAGTTTGTTAATAAGAAACAGTAATAAAATATATATACTTTGGATATAAAGATTCAGAAATTTTTTACATAAATAACTAAACAACAGGCACAAATAAATACCAGAATCAATTCTTATGCGATTTATTTTGCCAAAATATGGATTTGAAAGTAAGAATCACAATATGTAATATTCACGGATATGTGAAATCCCCAGTAATCAGTCATCCTTAATAACATAACATTAAAGGACAACTCTTATCATTCAAATATTTATCACTTTCCTTAAACTCTTCTGTGACGGGGATTCGAACCCGTGACCCGAGCACCCTAACCACCTGGTCATGCTGGGCCTTCAAATATGTGATAACATGCTCATGATAGACTAAAATGCTTTCTGTAGCTTATCTCTCTCATTTTGAAATTTGTTTATTTTGTAATACCTGTGATTCTTAAAACAAACAAAGGAAAACAGGAATAACTTATTTTAAGTAACTGTGTGAAATGTAACATTCAGAAGGTGTCTACTGGCATGTCAACTGAAACATTACAAGTAACATTAATTTTTTGAGTGAATATATAACAAAATGTACTGAAGACATTACATGTACAACCTAAAGCCACCCAAAGTGAAAACTTTTCTTGTATACGTATGTAAACATCCTGCTTCAAAAGTATATTAGATTAATGGAAATTGTAATTTGAATTTTTAGTATAAACTAAGCGAGTTCAAAAACATTTTATTGTCTAGTATTATATACTGGAGTACTGCAACAGAAATAAGTTTTTAAAAATAATAATATTCTTACTGGTAGCTTGTGGTCTTGTCCCAGAAGGGCGTAGTTTGGGCATGCCTTGAGCAAAGAGTCCACCAAGATCAACTGGTCCACTGGGTTTTTCAGCACTTTGTGGCTGTGGCCCATTTTTTGCTTTGTTATCTGAAATTTACAAACAAAAAAAATTAATTTTTGCATCATAAACATGTAAATTAGCAAACATAGCAAATAAAGTTTACTGACACTGCCTACTAGCACTAGAACGAGTACCAGATCACATAAAACACAGCCAAGAATAATGGAACTTGTGATGACACAACTAAAGAAATAAATTATTATTGCAAGCTGAACATAAAACATTAAACATCAAAGTTATCTACGCATTAAAAGCACTTGCTAAAGTAAATTAAGAGGTTAACATATTTGTACTGGTTACTGAATATTTTGAAGTTTACATGGCATTTGGTTAAATACAGATATTTTTCTATAGAATATTAAATAATTGTACTTTTTTTTTTAAGCGTAAACATTACTTTAAGTGATGTATGCATGTTATAAATTTTATATAGATGATTACACGTGCACATAAGCAAGAATATTAGACAACATGTCTTTATATGTAATGCTCAGTCTGGTATTAAATCCTACATAAATATGTGGGAGCATATCTTTTTCTAACTTGTTTCTTACGAGTAACATAGCCGAAATTTATCAATACATGCAGCTTTATAAAGGTATCACAGTATATTAAAATGAAAAAAATTACTGTTGAAAACTTAGTTTTATGAAACAAATTATTAGCTGAACGAGAGCCACTTTTGTCTTTTCTACAAACAGCCAAGAGTATACTTGGCCCAAAAATTTGTAGTATATTAATATTACACACTCGTATGCAATCAATGTCTTCCTATTTCATCTAAACAGTAAACTCTTTACACTATACCATCACATTATCATATCATTACTTCTTCACAAAAGTTAACTGATCTTACTTGCAATAACAGGAGCACTTCTGTCACAAGTTTCTGCTTTCTTTAATCTGGTTCCTTGTCTAATTTGGTTTAAAAGAGCATTACGGTCAGGCTGTTGGCTCTTGATGGCCTGCTGTGGTTTTTTAGTCTGCATACATGTAGGTGCAGGTGGTGGAGGAGGAGCTGGGGGTGGTGGTGGTGGAGGAGGAGGCATAGCTATCCCTACTTGAAACTGATGTTATAGAGGTATATAATCTCCTGGTCTGCCTGTTTAAGTCAATAAACCTGTAATCAATTGTAAAATTTAAAACTATGCAAATCATATAATTTTTAATGCCATATGATTCAAAACCCAGGTAAAAAAACAATTGTAAAAAAATGTATAAAATAATAAACAAAAGTTACATTAAAGCATGGTAACATAGCAAGTAAAGTTTATAGCCTTATGGACCATGGTCAGTTGATATACAATTACTCTTCACAGAAATGAAATATAATATTACATCTCATATGATAATGAAACTATCAAATTTTCTTTAAACTTTTATTACACCATGTTATATACATAAACATGTGTGAAACCTTAATGATATGGAGCTACATCTGTAACTCAAAATTAAAACTATATCTTATTAAATTGTTTAAAACTTTATAGAACAGTAAGATATTCAGCATTTAATATCTATACAAGTATATATATTTCATACATTCCATTAATGATTCCTAAATTGTGTTGTAGATCCTTTGGAAATCCAAGACTCTTTAAAGGGAAGGGGGTACTACCATATATATAAGGGGGTACTACGATATATATATAAAATACTAGATATTTTCTGTTTTTCATGAGACAAACAATAATTCGTCAATTAGATCATCACATAACCACGTGTAATATTGGTTACTGCAGTTAATACCACAACTATTCGAGTTGCACTGCACACTCAATCTTGTTTGTATACATTAGTGATCCTCAAGAATGGTTGTTACTAACAACAAATACCAAATGTGGCGTAAGGGGAACCCTCATAAGCAAGACAGGAAAATCTAGCATTAGAAACATTAAACACAGTAAGATACACTTAGCTGTAAGGCTAAGTGAATGACTGAGTGTTTGTTTAAAATCAAATGTTGTTTAAAGGAATACAATTATACAGATTTACTATGACAAAGCACAATAACTGAGTAACAGCATGTTGAACTTTGATAATTTTTAACTGAAAGACATATACATATAATTTATGAACAAGGCACCTGTTGGATAATCTAGGCCATCTCATCCACTAAATTAAACTTTAAAATAAGAATAAAACACTCAAAGCCAGTACTTATCATTAAAAATGTTTATCAAGCCATCCCTTAAATTAACTGCATCCACATCACATCTGACGGCAACCCATTTCAAGGGCTCTCTATCTTATTTTTCTGACAGATTGGTAAACCGATTGTAACCTAACCAATAACCTATACAATGAAATTATAACCTTTTCAGACTTGTATTCAGTATTTCTGTACACATAGTGCCTTGTACAAATGTGGATATATATTTCAGAAAGAAATATAAAAAAATCATTTATTTTAAGCTTTGTACGATTCAAATTATAATTGCTTTAAATTACAAATTCTTACCTGATAAATTGATATGTGAACTGTACTGCTGTAAGATTTTACAAAATCCCTTTAAGGTAGTAAATTTGAGTTAATCAATTTGGGTCATATTATGAATCTTTGGCCTATTTTTCCATTGCCTCTCCAGCTTTTAATATCTGACACCATAATATTAAATATACAACCTTTCAAATGATTTAATAAATCTAAATAGTAAACAATTGGGAAACAGGGCATTACTTTTTTTTAAAAGTAAACAATTGGGAAACAGGCATTACTCTTTTTTAAAAAAGTAAACAATTTGGAAACGGGCATTACTTTTTTTAAAAAGTAAACAATTGGGAAACAGGCATTACTCTTTTTTAAAAAAGTAAACAATTGGGAAACGGGCATTACTTTTTTTAAAAAGTAAA